ATTAATATTGTTTCGTGTGTAATTGAAAATGTTTTGATTGGGAATTTGGGATGTGATGAAAGTGGAAAAATGCTTTTCTTTGTCACCGTATCTTGGCTTTTTCAGAATTAGTTCATGCCACCCACGCGGGTGGCGCCCATTTTTTGTATTAACAAATCAAGGAATGACATGTGGCAATACATTTGCTGCTTACACACTCAATATTGCTATGAACAAAATTAAAATAAAAAGGTTCATCTAAAAATACTAGAAAAATTGGTAAAATATAAATAATTAATAAAAATAAAAGTAGCTAATGAAAATACTAACAAACCTAATAAAATAAATATTAGAAAAAATATGGTATTATGAGTAATCCACCAAAAGTCTCAGAACAAATAGAAGCACTTATAGAAATAGTAAAAAAGAACCAATTAGAAACATTAGAAAAATTAAATGAAATAAAAGAAACAATAAGAGAACTACAAGATTTAGTACAAAAAGAAAAAATACGGAAAAAAGTATTTAAGCCTATTCAGATAGAACCACCAACAAGTTCTAATGGATGATATAGATAGGTTAACTCGGTTATTAGAAAAATGCAATATTGAAGAAACTAGAATGGCAAAAATAGATGATGAGGATAAACAAGGAATAATTTATGGAATAGATAGTGAAAATGAAGATGAGCCAACATTTAATATGACTGATCAAAAACCTTATACAACACCGCCACTATCACCAAAACGACCTAGAACAAATAATAATGAAGCATCTACTTCACATAATAATTATGTAGAAAGTAGTTTTAGAGATTTTATATATAGAAATGATTATAGTTATCATCAAGAAAGAATAAAGAAAAATATTCCACCAGCATATTTAGAAAAAGAAAGAAATTTATCTAATGGAATATTAAATATAGATTGTGCAACTAATGCAGAAGATTTAATAGTTACCTGGACTAATCAATTAAAATTATTAGTTCAAACTAATGACTCAATGATAAATGGAATGACATTAATCGACTTTGCTAATTATATAAGATATAAAACATCTGGAGTATTATTTGATTATCTAGAAAATACTCAAATTTTATTAAATCTTGAAGCTAGTGGTTCAGAAACAGGAGCAGAATATAAAATATCAGCCTTAAAAGAATTAGCAAAAGATTTATTGAAAGAATTTTTAGGAATTACAGGACAAGAATCAAAAGAAACACAAAAAGATAAGGTTGTTAGATTTTTAACAAATATGAAGCTATGTAATATATGCTACATAGAGAATTTTTTCTGTCAAGTAAGAGAGAATTTCTATAAAATTAAAGATCGATCAGGACTAATAGAAATAGTTGAAAGTAAGCTTAAAAATGAAATGAATAAATACATACAGAAGAAAATTAGTGAAACAAAAGAAGAAAAAACTCTAGGAATTTTAAAAAAATATGCAAAAGAATATAGAGATGAACTTTGTATTTGAAAATTAGAACACCATGAAATGACAAAAATCGATTCAAGATGTTGCAAACAATTAGAAAGTGTACCGCAGGAATTTGGTTGTTATAACCCATACAAAAAGAAAAAATATTATAGATACAATAAGTTTAATAGACGATATAGACCAAGAAGATATAAGACATTTAGAAAACCGTGGAAAACAAAATATAAAGGAAAGTTTAGAAAACAAGGAAAATACTTAGGAAAACCTAAATATTGTCCTAAAGGTAAAAAGAATTGTAGATGTTGGAAATGTCAAGAAATAGGACACTATGCAAATGAATGTCCTAAAAATATGCCAGAAAAAGAAAAGAAATTAAAAATGATATTTTCTTTAGGTTATGAACCTATAGAAGAAGAATACGAAGAAGGAGAACTATTAGACTTTGATACATATGATTTAGAATCAGAAACAGATAGTAATTCAGAAACATCTGAATCAGAAGATGAGTAAAAACAGTTCATTCATAAAAGTTAAATTATTTAATAAATTTCTACTAGCATATATAGATACAGGAGCAACAATATGTTTAGCAAAAGAATCTATATTACCTAGTAAATATTGGAAGAAATTAGATAAACCAATTATAGTAAGAATTGCAAATAATAAAACAATAAGTATTGATTATAGAGCAACAGACTTAGTATTGTTAATAGAGGAAAAACGGTTTCCTTTACCAAGTCTTTATAAACAGAATACAGGATTACCATTAATAATTGGAAATAACTTTCTTAAGTTATACAGTCCATTTATTCAAAGACTAAATACTATAAGTCTTAGATGTCCACAACTAGATACACAGTCTAGTAAAATAATTACTACAAAAATATATAATACATCTTCTTTCATAAGGGGGGAGATATTAAGAAAAGTTTCATTTCAAATTCATAAAGTAATAAGTATAACACTAGAAGAACATGTTAATCAACTTTTAGAAAACATATGTAGTCAAAATCCATTAGATCCAAATAAAAACACGAATAACATGATAGTAAAAATAGAACTTATAGATCCTAGCAAAGAAGTCAACGTGCCAAATAGAATACCATATACAGAAAGAGATGTTAAAGAATTTCAAGAAGAAACTACTAAGATGTTAGAAAATGGTATTATACAACCTAGTAAAAGCCCACATAGTGCACCAGCATTTTACGTAGAAAACCATAATGAATTAAAAAGAGGAAAACGAAGAATGGTTATAAATTACAAAGAAATGAATAAAGCTACTAAAGGAGATGCATATAAGTTGCCAAGACAAGATTATATTTTTAGTCGAATTAAAAAGGCAAATTGGTATAGTACATTAGATGCTAAATCAGGATATTGGCAATTAAGGTTACATGAAGAAACTAAACCCTTAACAGCATTTAGTTGTCCACCTCAAAACCACTACGAATATAATGTAATGCCATTTGGACTTAAACAAGCACCTAGTATATATCAGCGATTTATGGATAATAATCTTAAAGGATTAGAGTCAATAAGTCTTGCTTATATAGATGATATAATTGTTTTTACACAAGGATCAAAAGAAGATCATTTAAAAGAACTTGCAAAAGTTTTATTACAGTTAGGTAATAAAGGAATTATTTTAAGTAAGGAAAAAGCAAAAATTTGCAAAAGAGAAACAGAATTTTTGGGAATGAAAATAGTCGAGGGAGGCTATATTGAACCTCAAAAACATTTACTTGAAAAAATACATCAGTTTTCAGATCAGCTTCAAAACAGAAATCAAATTCAAAAATTTCTTGGATGTTTAACATATATTGGAGAAAAAGGTTTTATAAAAAGTCTTGCAAAAGAAAGAGAGTTACTACAAAAAATGATTTCAGAAAAAGTACCATGGAAATGGACAGACAATGCAACTAGAGCAGTACAGTCCTTAAAAAGACTATGTACTCAATTACCACGGCTTTACCTACCAAAACCTAGTGATTTACTTATTTTAAACACTGATGCAAGTCAGGATACTTGGGGAGCAGTCCTTCAAGCAATTCCAGATGCATATGAAGAGTTTAATAAGTTTATCGCAAACAACAAACCATCTGAAGTTAAATCCTTTATACGAAGGATGACTAAAGATAGTTTGGATGAAAATAGTGAATCTAATGATTCTATGCAATTAGTATTGGGAAAAACCAATGGAAAGCAATTACTGTTATCCAAATGGGTATCAGGAACGTTTAAGCAAGCAGAACGCAATTATACAACACATGAAAAAGAAACATTAGCTTTTATAAATGCTTTGGAAAAATTTAAACTTGATTTACAACCAGTTAAATTTATTTTTCAAACAGATAGTTTGTATACAAAAGATTTTACAAAATATCGAATAAAAGAATCTTACAACAAAGGTAGACTTTTAAGATGGAGTTTGAAAGCACAACAATTTGATTACATATCTGTATATATTTCAGGAAAAGAAAACTATTTAGCAGATACATTAACCCGAGAATGGAAGCACTCAAACCAGTCTTAGAAGATAGTCTAAAAATGCTGGAAAAGCAGGTAGAAGAGCTCTTTGAGCAGATAAAGAAAAAAGAAAAAGAAATCAGCAAGATAAAAGCCATACTATTTGAAGAAAAAGGCAAAGAAGAAAAGAAAAATGAAAATGCAGAAACATCAAAAGAAAAAGAAATAAATGAAGAAAAAGAAAGACCTCATTTTGATGAGGAAGAAAGAACAAAGAACCATTATGTAATATTTACAGGTCCTAATCAAGGGATATTTTCCCAATGGAGTCAAGCAGCCATGTTTATAACAGGACAGAATGTTATACATAAAAAATTTTCTAGCCTGTTCGAAGCAAAAGAAGCGCTAGCACAGTTCAAAATAAGCTATGCGGGAAAAGCACAATCACCGGCTACAGCAGCACAGAAGCAAATGCCTATAATAGGCAAAATTCCAAGTATTAGACCACTAACGATTGGAAGCATACAGTCCAAACAACAAAAAGAAGAGATGACCAAGCTGACCAAAAATATTTTTGACCATGAATTCAAGTTTGTGGTTAATTATACAGATGAAGATAAGCAGACAAGCATTTATCCAACTGACGGTCTATATCTTGGACCAAAAGCAATAGCTCTACCAGAAGCAGATCCGATGAAGGTATACATGATGTTCCAATCAGGATTACTAAGTTGTATTTATTTCAGAGATACAAATATATTCCAATACTTCCCGATCAACATCAAGAAAGCAGTTTCTCAATACTGCAAGTACGTTCTTGGAAAAAAGGAAGGATTCGTGAAAATATTTGCCACCACACCAATTTTTGGTGAGGGGGAAAGCTCACAGGAAGTAATACAACCAGCAATCCAGTTTTGTCAAATTGGAATAAGCAATGGAAATTATCCAGACATCGGCCAAGCACAACATGAGGACGAATTAGTTCAGTTTCTAAATAATTATGTCATAATCTTAAATAAAGGCATTAAAATCAAGGGAAGGATTAATTATGCAGCCAAGTCCATTATCATCTGGAGCATGCAAGCACGAGAGC